CAATTGATACTAATTTTAATATCTTTTAGTTGTTAGCAAGGATAGTAAGACGTCTTAGGTTTAAAACTCATTTTAGAATTTGAATTTTTAGGTGTATTTCAATTTTATCTTTAAACTTTAAAAATAACTATTTGGTCTTTATTAATATTATTTTGTTGTTAATTATTTAATAGATAGATGAAGTGACTTTAAATATACGTGTATTAACATATTAACGTGCAACATGTATATTGAAACATATAATTAATCAATGAGACATGGTTGTGAGAAAACTTATAATTGATGTCAATACATTTATACACATATTTGAAGTAGCGTTATCTAATTGTTAGAATATCGACAGCAACCTGCCCTATTTTCAACAATAATTATTCAATTTCATATAACTTTCATATAGTTGACAATTCAATATAGTTCATCAATTACTTGTTTTACCACATCTAAAATAACATGTCATGTACAAAGATATTGTTAATGTAGAAAAAAGTGTTAAGGACAACGGTACACCAAGTACCTCGAGTATCTCCCTAATGATGTGAAATTGTCCGTTTTGGACATAACTCTTTGCTTTTGGTTTCACAAAAAATGCATCATACGGCCGATAGAGATAATTGTTCTCATTTATATATCATGGATCATGTTTTTCCCTAGCCAATGTGAGACTTTGTTTGCATTCCCTTTACAATCCTCCCCTCGGAGAAAGTACCACCAAGCCTCCCCTCAAGTAGTCCATCACTCGTCTACTCTTGGACTTGAACGAGAGCTTGCTCTTATCCAAAGCTTCCGTCATAGCTTCACTTCTTTGTTCGGCACTCGAAGATTCACCGACACAGTTAGGTTTAGACCATGACTCTCATACCACTTATTGAGGGAATGGTACCCCAAGTACTTCGAGTATCTTCACAATTGTATGACGTTATAGTTTCACCCAAAATACCTCATACCCATGAAATAATTGTCCTTATCTATATATCATGCATGAATCATGATCTTCCCTAATCAACGTGAGACTTTGTTTTCATTCATTTCGAAACTTAATAAGACTATAAAGTAAACCATAATGAAAATTTTAAAATTATAGGGAGAAAAGTAAGATGAATAGGAATGATGAAAGAGGTAATTTAAGCTCAAGAAAAGTAATTTTGACATAGATGGTGAGAGCGATAGAGGTTTGAAAGGGAAGTGACGGAAATGCCCCTGAACTTAATTCCAAGGGAGATATGATTCGTATCAATAAACGCAACGCGGTTTGCTGGGCCTGTTGGTCTGGCACACCTGGCACGCTGATAGCGACTTTATGGTAATTTGACACCACAAACTCCCATGCCACAAATCAGGGGCAATCTCGTCTAGTTAATTTATACGCAACGGATGACGTCATTTCATCCTCCATCTGGTTTTTAGTTAGGATAAAACTTCCTCACTCTGGCATTTCCTCTTCTCGCTTCTCGGGGTCACGGTCGAACCAGCCAAATTTCATTTTATTTTCATTATTTAGAAATTTTTTAAAATTAGATTCTACATAAAGACTAAAGAGTTATGACCAATTCTACTCTAAAATAATATATTTAAATGATCAAATAGATCTATGTAGGGGTGTTCACAAACCAAATTGAATTTAAAATAATAATAATAACCACCGTGTGAATTAAAGTTAGTGTATAAACTGCAGACTAATGATTTTATTAATTTGATTTGTGGTTTTGCAAGTAAACGAGCAGGTTGCGAGTACATAGATTGAAAATTAAGACTGGCGTGTGGCGTGGATCATGTGCATGCTAACCAAAAAAGAAAAGGCAACTTAGGAAGGGACATGTCATTACTGGTATTTGGCTTAAGGGGTTGGGATTTTGAGAAGTTCTAAAATTAAAAAACAAATAACATATATATATATATATATATATATATATATATATATACATACATAAGTGGTTCGTTTTATTTGCATTTGTTTTCTAAAATCCAAATAAAAATTGAACTGCGTCTTTCAGTTTTAGAAACTTGATTAATCAACTCGAACTGAGAATCGTGCCTAATTGAAAAAAATATATATAATTCGGTTCGATTTCTCCTTTGTTTTTGTTTTTGTTTATCTTGGTTGGTTGTAGGGTAGTTTAACAAGTAGAGTGAGAAAGTGACAAGGGTTTGTCCCTCAGTAATTAAGAGATAAAAAGTAATGGGCCAACCTACAAAGTTGTTGGTCCAGCTCTGTTTTGTCGCTTTCCATGTGCCCTTGGCTAAAAGTCGAAAATGACTTGTAAGATTAACCTCCACGACAATACTCATCAACCCTATTCTCGTCTTCCTACTTCCTAATCCTGCCCCATTTTCTGAAATTACTTTTTTAAATGTCTTATTTCTATTCCATTTAACCGTAAATAAATTTTTTTGGCTTTGTTTGAATATTTTTTTTCATTTTAAAATATTATTATTTTGATTGACTGAACGTTAAACACATGTATGAAATCGTATTTTCAAGAAAAAAAAAAAAAAAGAATAACAAGCCAATGACAATGAGTTTTTTGCTTGATAGATGCCAATATAGGTCATATGATCAAGGTCGAGAAATTTGATGAGGAATGATATTATTAAAATTTGTCCATGGAACAGTTTTGAACCCAAAAAAATGTGTCTGAAAACCCAATACTAATTTTTTTCATCATTTTCTATTATTTATTTATATAGCTCCGGGGAGAGTATAGAGCTCTAAATAAATAGTTATTATGAAAAGGTCAATTTAAATACAGAGTGTCATAATTATTTAAAATTAAAATTCCTTAAGAAAATTAAAAAAATCAATAATTGATATTAGATTAAATTACTATTTTGATCCCTATACTTTTAATTTATATTCTTCAATCCTGTATTTTAAAAATGTTCATTTTAATTCTTTTCAAAATGTTTGTTTTGATCTTTGCATTGTCACTACTTTTTTTCCATATTTGTATAATTTTAATACAAATTCTACACTTAATATAAAGTTTTGGTTATATTTCAAAAAATATATTGAGTGCAATGTCACATTAAAACTATCATAGAAAAACGATAATGAAAATAAAATTAAGGGACCAATAGTACGAAGTTTTAAGATTTTCTTTTTCCAAAGAATTTTAGAATTCGTCCTTTTATATAAGTACGAAGTTTATATTAAATAATTGATCGGGTTTTAATATATATTAACGTATACTAAGAAATAAATTAGCCGGCTCAGATGGATTTGGTTCGACATTTGAATCGTTTGTGGGTCGAAGAGACCGCTTTAGGAATCTCTCGGATTCTTGTTGCTGATTCTTCTGGTTTTGCTTTTGTTTCTTCCTGTTAGTTTGCTTGTATTCTTTTTGTTCTAAAAAATAATAGTAATAATAATAATAATAAATAAGTAAAATAAAATAAATTAACCATATTGCACATTTTATATGTATTTTTAAATCTGAAATCTTCTAGCTGTGAAATATTAAATATACATTCATAAATAACTAACTATGAAAAGAAGTCGATGGTATTTCTCCTTTGCTTGCCCAGTTTAATTTTAGAATCAAATCGATAAAAATAAAATACTACTTTGATGCACAGTTTAATAAAGAGCCCAACTTTGCAAATAATAATAATAATAATAAAAATAAAGAGCCCAACTATATTTTCCTCCAAAAAAAAAACCAGGAAAAAAAGCCCAACCATACTATTGTCCATCACACATTTAATTTCCCCCCTTGAGTGATACTTTGAGAGTACATTTTTCATTGATAACATATAATAATTTAAATTACAGAAACAACAGTGCGATATTATAAATAACACCATGAAATAATAATAATTTATAATTAAAAAAATTAAATGAATCAAAATTATCAGTTACTATTATTATTAAAATTATAGAAATATACACGCTTTAGTAACTCAGCAAATTAATACAAAGAAGCCAAGGTAAATTATAAAGAATTGAAATTGGCTCGGACACTATCAAAAAATAAAAAAAAAATCAAAAGATTTAAAATTAGAAAAGTTATTTCTTAATTTTAATACTCAATGTCCAACTAAATAAGAAAGTTCATTTAAAAATATTTTAACCAAAATATACTAAAACTATATAAATAAAAAAAATATTGACATTGTTGTCGTTGTATAATTTATCCTTCCAGAGTTAAATCCAGTTACCTAAGTCAATCACATGACACAATAGAAAAACAGAAAAAACAATAAACGACACAAGATTTATACTGATTCACCGAACGGTTTATGGGCTAGGTCCACTCTCCTGCTCAGATGCTGCTGAAAAACCTTGAATTGCTACATTTTTACGGCTAAAAAAAACCTATAACCGAAGCTGCTGCTTTTATAAAATCGCGTTACAGCGTCATCGTTCGCGCGGACAACGTCACGGCACTGTCCCATGCCGCGGCGCTGCTATTCCTTGGCCTGCAGCGCGCCGCTCCTCCTGTTTTCAACCTTGCTCTGTCCCGACGTGTCTCGACTTGATCCGACTTGTCCCTAACTCGTTCTGACGTCTCGTTTTGGCTCCACCAATCTCAACGGGCATCTATTATTTTCTTTCTAAATTCAATTTGAGGGTGAGATATTTGAAGTTTCTATTATGGTATGGTCAATAATTTTGCGAATTAAACTATTTCTTTCAAATGAATCGAAAAGGCGTCCCCAGTGTTGCAACTTGTACAAGATTAAAAATTTGAATCTTTTACCAATTAAATGTACGGACATTATTATTCAAAACAAATACTTTTTCATTATATTCACTAGAAAGTTCTTGATTTCCTCGACGATTAAAAACCCACTTTGAATTGATCCACACTTTCTTGAACTAACATCCCACGAGTATGTGCAGAATCAATCTCAAGTTCCAGGGAAGACTCGTGAATGCCTACAGCTTCCACCACATCCACATTCATCACATATGTATTTAAATTAAAAGATTTTACTGGATAAAGATAACAATTATATGTTCTGTTTTAAAAGCATGAAATAGATAGAAATTCACACACAGATTGTACACAAACCAACTTTGTTTATAGTTCTTGATTCTTTCAAAGTAAACCAGAAACCCCCGTGGAATAGATTAAAAAAATCCATAGGTGGAGAAGAAACATGAGAGGGGGCCGGGGGTAACAACATTGCAGTCACTATTGCGTTATATTAACTAACAAATCTTATTTGTATTTACACACACTAACTACAACCAATGAATCTCGGGGCTGGGGCTGGGGCTGGGGCTGGCTACTGAACAAAAATATTCATAAGTTAAGGAGTTGAAGGCTATCTTTGCTTTTCCCTGAAAGTGACAAAACAGTGGCGGCTATGTCCTTCCAACTCAGCCCTGCTTCTTGGGTTTGGTCTTTCTGTGATCCATGGTCGATATATCTGTCAGGAAGCACCATTGCCCTCCACTGCACCAACGCCAACGCCACCCCAAATTAGAACTCAAACCTTTTTATACATTATTATCACAAATCAAATTCAAATGTGGAACTCAGTTTTATTGAATACCTTGAGATTCCCATCTAGCAATCCGTTCAATCCGAGGAAGTGGGAAACATGAGAGCTAAATCCTCCAATGGATCCTTCTTCAATGGTGAGGAGTACCTCGTGCTCTCTTGCCAATTGCTTCACCAATTCTCCATCTAGTGGCTTGCAAAATCGCGCATCCGCCACCGTTATGTTAATTCCGTATTGTTGGAGCACCTCCGCCGCGGCTATGCAACTTTGTACTATTGTCCCGTATCCCAAAATGGCCACTCTGTTTCCTTCTCGCAGGATCCTTCCCTTGCCCACCTGCACATACAAATACAAATACAAATTTGTCAACGATTCAATTCAATTCAAAATGGCATTAATTGAAAGAAACGGATAGAGGCTGCGTATGTACCTCCAATGGAGTGCCTTTGTTGTGAGGGGGAAGAACAGAGCCAACACCATTCCCTCTTGGGTACCTAAAGCAACTAGGCCTATCGTCGATGGCGGCGGCAGTGGCGACCATGTGCAT